ACTGTTTTTTCACCACTGTTAAAAATTTGTATCTCTCACATGCAGAGGTACAGAAGTCTGTCTACAGGCTTCAACAGCAGTGTGCTACTGCAGGTATAGAGATCTGCCTTTGCTATTAGAGCAGAACCTCTGCACAATCCTTTGTGTCCAAGGCCACAGGGGTATTTCAGAGTCTCTGTGAGTAGGCTTGAGTTGCCTTAGGAACCTCATCTCTCCCTGCTCACAATAGGGAGAATATTGATGTTTAATTCTGTATTCAAAATTAGTTCTCATTGTCTTCCCAAAAGCTAGTTCCTGTGTATCAGGACCATGGTGACCAGAAGCAGTTTGCACACTTGACCTACCTATTGGTCAAGTATCCTGATTAATCTTCTCCCAACAAACTAATTATTTATTAATATATGGTTTGATAAAGATTGGTTAGAATAATATTTTGAGCAGGTTGAAAATACTTGAGCTGAACTATCAATTTTTAAATATTGCTTTTCTTGACTTTGAGATAAGTATTTGTCCAAATATTACTTTGTGCTATTACAAGCCCAAATTATAAGGCTTGTAGTTTTCTAACTTCTAAAAAATGAAGCAACTGAATATATCCACACTTAATATATGTATTAAAAGCTGTACATGGTTGTTCTGTGCAAAGATAATATATTCAATCTATTTAGATAAATCTATATTCAAATGTTTGTGTTTATGGTTAAAGGGCAATAATGAGCTCTTCTTTAGGAGAAGGTAAACAAGTAAAATAAACCACAGCTTTTGCTGAACAGTTCAAACTTTGGTTGTCTCTAGGAGTATCTATGCATTAAAAAGGTCCTTTTTTGTTTGTGATAGTGGATAAGGAATGCAAATGCTTTGTTTCTTACTTCATTGCTCACCTCTGAAGTAGGGCCTTCACATTTCTACATCACCGGCCTGCAGAGATGTGATGATACATCTTTTAAGTATGTACCACTAGTCAAATACTAGATCTGATTCTTTTATTTCTTCCAGATACTTATTTGTAAATATATATGAACTTTTCCAACTGTTTCCTGCCATGCAAAGCAGTTGAAGTAGTTGAGTGTCTTAACTTGCATTCTATGTGAGCTTTTTAAAGAAACAGTGAAATTAAAATAAGTGAAAAACACTGCTCACAACACAGTCAGTCAGTCAATCTCTCTGATAACCAAAAGAAAACAGATATTTGGTTCTTTCACAAAATATTTCTGTTCTATGTAGGTCTGAAAAGACCTCCATATTCCACAATCGTCTTTCCATCCTATGAATAACTGATAGCAATTTCTAGTTTTTTTACCACTGTTAAAAGTTTCATATGTACTGACTGTTCTGGCAATTTTTGTCACACAGTGGTTCTACTTTTATGGTAACAACAGATGCCAGAGCAGTTGCCATTGTTATAATGCTAACAAAGTAATTTACCAAGATCCTGGGCTCGAAACTTTTCAGAACATCTGGGGTTTTTTTGTTCCATGCACATTACTTTTAGAACTTTTTTGTCTTCAGAAGTATTTTCCTGCTTAAAAGAGTTTTTTTGGTTTAGTTTCTTTGGTTTTTTTTTTAAGTGAGAGTTATTTCAAAAGTAAAGGAAGCTACTGAAGTTCTTTATCTTTAGTTAGTAAAGGTTATGACATTTAATCCAATATTTAAAAATTTTAAGGTCAAAAATCCTAGTGATGGAAAAAGAGAGGCCGAGGCACATCACTTTATGGTTCAAAAAAATAATTAGGTAAAAATGAGTGGCCTTTCTTAGTATCAATGTTGGCATGTGCTGCAGAGAAAGGAAGATGTTTCCCAGGATGCGTAACTATCTCTGCAGAGGGAAGGGACATACGGTTCCACCTGTTCTGGCAAAACGTATGACTAAGTGTGGCCACAGTAGATGGGCAAAATGCGCTGCCCAGGGATCAACAAGCATTTTCAGTTCTCTTTGTCTGAGTCCTGGTAATCTCCAGGCCATGACCCAAGTCCCAGTGGGGCCATGAAAGAACAGTTAGAAATCCTTCAAGCTACATCTGGCTAGGAGGAGGATTGTAGCCCTCCGGGTGATTAGCTGAAGCTCTGGAATGTGAGATTTTGTTGTAATCTTTATTTTAACGTGCAACTGCAAGTGTAATGGGAACGCTGAGGGCAATCCTATTCTCAGTCCTGTTCTCCTCAAGGCCTCAAAGGATGGTGACTGAGGCAGCTTATAGAGTTGCAGATCCCCTGGTTTCAGACAATTTCTGAGTACTTAATGTAGTCTGAATGGGAAACAAAGGATTGTCACTTGTTGAAAACAGCTGATCCATAGGAAATCAGGTTTTAGACAGTTAGAAAGCAGAAGTCAGCCAAGACAGTGCTTTTTCCCTCTTTAAAGATGTGGCACTCAGACCTGGTTTTCTCACAGCATTTACTGTTTTCTGTTAGATTTTTGATAAGCTCCCATCCTTCCATGTATATTTAGTACAGCTATAGCCACTTTTGGAGGCTGCCTGCTTTCAGGCAGCTAACCACAAACCTAGCTGGGAATGACGGTTTCAACTCAAAGCAGGCTTTCCTCTGATTTCTGATTTTTCTTCTTCATCTCTATTGAAACTTCTTGCAAGCTGCCCTCTTAACATGTGCTGCACTCTTACAGGCCAATCTGCCCCTGCTGCAGCGGGAGCTGCTGCACTGTGCAAGGCTAGCCAAGCAGAACCCAGCCCAGTACCTCGCCCAGCACGAACAGCTGCTTCTGGATGCCAGCACCACCTCACCTGTTGACTCCTCAGAGCTGCTTCTCGACGTGAACGAAAACGGGAAGAGGCGAACTCCAGACAGGTGAGCAGCACCGTGCCTTTCCTGCCCTTCCCAGAGTCTGTGGGCCCGAGGTGCTGAGCTCCACCAGCACAGGGGCAGCACAGGGTGGGTGCTGGGGGAGATACTCGGATGGTGTTCTCTGGGTGTGGTCCTGTCCTGCCTTCAGATCCAACCTGACCATCAATGTTTCCAGAGATGGTATATCCACCACTTCTCTGCGAAACCAGTGTTTCACCAGGTTCCATATTAAAAATTTCTTCCTAGTCTGAATCTACTCTCTTATTAGCTTAAAATCATTCCCCATGCCCTTTCATAACAGGCCCTGCTTATGCATGTCTACATATACATACTTACATGTATAAATGGAGAGAGAGCTACATACACATTCCTGAGTATATAAATATAATACATGCACACACTGATTCAGTCACCTCAGGGCTCACTGTGGTCATATCCACACAGAAGTAATGGTCAGCCAGTACTGTAGTACTTTGTGCACAGTATTTCTGTCATGAAGTGCCAAGCAACAGATCATGCCAGCTCCATATACAAGTCCTTTGCATCTGACGTTTTGTTGAACTCAACATTAAATGTAAGGAAAGTTGCTAGGCATTTATATTGGGATGTACAAGGCAAACCCCAGAGCACACTCAGGGCTTTGACTCCTTCTGTTGCGCCATATTTCCATATCCATACATGGAATATGCATAAGGGTATTTCTTTCAAAGAGGATAAGTGTTCACTGCAATCTGTTTTGTTGTTGAGCTGAGGAAAGTCCGGGCAGAGATGGGGCAAGCAAATTTTTGTGTGTGAAGTACAGTGGCTTTAGGGGTATGAAACAGTTCTTATATTTTGGAATAAAGTTCTTTGTTTAGTGTTAAAAGGAAATTACTCTTGTGGTTATTTACTTTTAGCTGTCTTCCTATGCTAATGTTAGAAATTCAACTGGCATTTACATTTTACCTTTGGGAAACTCGGGTATTTTATTTTTCATTGATTTGTTTGCCATGGGTTTTTAGTGTGGAAAACTTATTATGCTGCTCTGCCAAATACCATTACCTGTATGCCTTAGGTATGCAAGTGTCCCAGTTATCTTTTAAATGAAAATGATGACTTGCAAAGTCAAGAAGCCTCGTAACTTTGTCCAGGTGACATTTTTGTGTTGGAACAGGCTTGAATAGCACAAAAATAAAGAGAAAACAAAGTCTGAAAGTTCACAGTAAAACTTTAGACTTTTCATAGACAGAAGTGAACAGTAAAATTTAAAGTCACATAGCCACTAGATAGAAAAAGATGTGAAAGTATTTAAAATTAGTTTGCCTGAGATTGTGTTTCAGAAAAATCACAATGAACTAGCAAGAAAATTAAGGTATAAGCAGAAAAACTCCTTTTATATGTAGCTACCTTCTTTCCACCAGTTTTTCCATATAACTAGACCAAACTGAAGGAGTTATTGAGGTTAATGGAAGTATGTTTATGCAACTCAGAAAGATGATTACTTATTGGACATTTTACATGTATTCTCTTACTATGTGCAATGAAATAATTTTTTCAAAGCTGAAATTTAGCACCTTGGGGCAGTTCTGTATATTCTCAGTCTTTGCAAAGTAGTGTAGCAAAACATATGTTAAAAAGGCCTCTTAATATCTTGTGAATAACTAAATGTCAGCATACTGTACTCTGGTGTCAGTAGCAGACACAACATTTTTCCTACAAGGAGATAGACACACATGAAATTATCTCGTAAGCCAGTGAGGTATTGCTTGACAGAATACAGACAAGAAGAGGGATGTGCTTTCCTGACAGCCCTAACTCAGTTTTTTTTTTTTTTCCCTGTTTGTAGAGAAGAGTATTACTCATATTTCACTTAAGGCTGCAAAGGAAAAATGCAAAATAAAGTCTTTCTTTTGCTTTCCATCCTTTGCATTTGGAGTAATGCTCCCTCTCTTTGAGATCTTGTTTGACAGTGCTGAATTTTGGCTATATTGTAGTAAGTACTGTCCCACCTGTGTTATCTTCAGTCTTGCTTGTGAGGGAGAAGATGGGTGATGCAGGTAGAGACTAGGACAAGAACTTTGTAATGGAAAGACCCTGTATTAGTTTTATAACAAAAAGGACATAAAATTAGCACAAAAATGGGGCCAGCAGATCAGGATAATATTGGATTTTAAAGTCAGCCTTCATCTTTTAGTTAAAACTGAGGCCCAGATCTAGAGAGATTTGGGTATGGTTTATGATTTTTTTTTTCTTAGCATTTCCTTTTAGTTAAAATATGTAGGTGCTCTTAAAATTCTGGATATGTGCATGCAAAGTCAAGTGCCTTTGGCTTCACAACTGAAGTCTCTCTTAGGCTGTGCACAGCTTGGAGAGCCTTCAGTTCCTCCACAGGTAGTAATGCAGCTTTTGGGGTGAGGGGTAGACAGCTTAACTTCCATTGTTGTGGGTAAGAGCCTGTGTTTGTATCCCCAGGGTGCAGGGAGGGTGTAGCATGGGGTGTCCCATTGGCCTGCACACTACAAGGTGCAGCGAGGAGCTTCTGTCAGTTACAGCCTGGAATTCAGCTCCTCAGTTCTGGGGAAGTGGTGTTTCAGAAAAACCCATCCTTCCTTTTTGACCCTGCAACTGTTTGCTGTAATGAAAAAGGCTCATGTAAAAAGAGACCGCCCAGTGCGCTCATTGGAATGGTACCTTGAGATTTAAAAATAAGTTGGTTTTGTTCAGTGTCAAGCAACCCTGTCACTGGTTAGTCACATCTACTTTTCCATTGCCTATGACTGTAATAAAAGCTATACAGAAAAAAAAAGTGGCAGTGTTGGCTGAGCCAAGTTCAGTGGAGTTGTCTTGTGCACTCAAGAACATTTGTGCAACAGATTTAGTAAAGAGAACAAGATGCTTTTGGAAAGATTCTTGCATTTACTGAATCGGAGTCTGCATACCTTTTAATTTGGATAATGTAAGTAAATCAACCACAAAAAACTGTCCTCAGAGGCAGAACATGCCTAGACTGAGTGAGTATTGAAACCAAATACTTGTCTGGCTTTATACTCATTACACTATTAATTATTTTAATTGTTTGCAGAGGAGCATGAGGAAACATCTGGAAACATATATAACTTTTGTTTAGAAATATAAGTAATTTTCAAATATAGTAATAAAAATTCAGCAGAAGATAGCAGACTTACTTTAAGGGAAGGGTTTACTGTGACTCCATGGCTAGTAAATGAAAAAAGATTGCTTAAAGGCTACATCTTCCCAGGAGAACTAGCTACAGCTGGAGTAATTTTGATTGAAGATGTGTGCCTCACTGAGGTAAACTTGTGGTATCTTTTTCACTTCCTAAAGTATATGATAGAGATGTATAGATATATAGTTATACACAGGTAAGCATTGTATATAATGTATATGCTACATATATACATACACATTTATTTTTCTTTTGGGTATGGGTAACTGCATACCACTGATACTACTGCAGGAAGAGTACAGTAGAGGATTAGGCAAAGAAAGTGGAACAAGTGTTACATGTAACCACAGCTGCCTCATGATTTTTTGTTGAAGAAAATCCACATACAGTATAGTTTTCTGCTTATAATTTCAGAACCCTTTTTGCATATCCATTTTCCAATTCTTGTTATTTATCTGCATATCCAAGTCTACTGTATGTGAGGTTTCATAGAGCAATCTGACAGCCAAGCTTTGTGGTTTACTGAATGTTTTCTTGGTGCATATGGTCTGACACGGATGAGCAGCCACGGTGAGATTTTGGAGTCTATTAAACTAGCTCATTAAAAAGATCAATCTGTTTCTGTAATAACACTGGGAACCATCAGTCACTGCAAGAGAAGAAAACTGACACCTGAGGAGACAACACATTTTGGTAATTTGTTCATGACATGTCATGAACAAAGTGTTCACTGTATTTTGTTTACAAGTTTTGGAGTTTACATTCTACTGTAGTAAAGCAAAGGAACTTGGACCACAGTGAGATTTTATTTTGGTGAATAAATGCCTAATTATAAATCACATTATTTTAAATACATTAACAACAAAAAAAATTGTGCTAATTGCTCATCCTTTAAGCTTGCTGGAAAGGGCTGATGGCACGTGAGCATGTCATATAGTGACTCTACATTTATGGCAGTTCTCTACAGAGTGGATATGGGATAACAAAAAATTCTGTTAGAATATCATTATTTTGAGTGAGAAGAAAACAAAAGTGGCCACAATTGTGTTGTGACTTTAGAAAGTGCTGCTGTGGTAGCAGTACACTTGGAACCTATGACATGAAATACATGTCAGAGGTACTTGGGAACAGAGATGAACTTTGATAACACTGTTAGGTAAATCTTATTTGAAGAGGCTCCTCAGTATCTGAGTAAGGTGAAGGATGTTCACAGCTCTTACATCTGTGCTCCTTGTATGCCATGTGTAAGTATGAGGAATTTTAAAAGAATTTTTGTAATATGAACTGTTAGCAAGGCAGAAAAGTAATTTTTTTCTGTAACACAGAAACAGCTACTTTATTCCAGCAAAGCATTATCATTTGTTTGATTCATCAAACCTTTATTGGTGGAAATCAGTTTAAATCAAAGCATCTTGCACAAATAGTAGATGAACAGCTTTGTCTCATTCTTGTAAGCTGACTTTAGTGTTCTTTGAAATTTGTGTAATACTCTTGATCAGGTGAAACATAATTTTCTAGCCAAGGCAGTTTTGCATGGTCAGATTTTCTACCCAGGAAATTGTCCATAAATTGCAATAATTTAAAACTGAAATCACAACCTAAAAACAACATAAATTGTATTAAATGTTTACAGGCTAAAAAGTAGTGTCTATTCTGCTGTCTTTAATCTAAGTAAATCATGACTTCAAGTAAAATGACCCCCTGTGTGTTTATAGCTGAAGGACTCCCATGTTTGTCATATTGCCAATTTTCCAAACAACAGTGTTGATAAAGGAAAATGTGGCCAAGAGGAGTAAGGAAAAAAGTGTCAGTTATGTTTCCTACACATTCACTGTTATTTCTTCTCTACAGCTTCTGGTTACTTTGCAAAATCAGATGAAAGCAGATTAAAATTGTGATGGTGTTATATTTGGAACTACTATTCACATGGGTGTGCCAGTAACTGGGAAACAGGAGTGCTTCCTCAGGCACCTGGGAAAATGCTGTTGCCCCAAGGGAGGGAGACCTAAAAGAATGAGTAGGACTGAGATCAGAAGCAGACTAGTGGGTCAAATTCAGAGCATCTGAATTATGGCACTCTTCAGCACCTTATCTTTTATCACTCTCTTCAGTGTATTCAGATATAGTAAATTTGGCAGCATTTCCAGTTCTGATGAGGTTTTCTAAGTTGTTTCCTTTTTATATATTTTTATGTGGTCAGAAACATAAAATGAGTTTATATACAGTCTCATTCTAGTATTCTGGTAAACTGCTTATTTGGTCAGTGCAGAAAATATAACAACAAATAGTAGAATTAAATTTTTACACCCGAAAAGACATGGCAGCCATTACTCAGCATAATAGAAAAACTATTGTTTCAGTAAATATGTTTTCAACAGTCATGTTAGTTTCTATCGTAGTCAGAGTTCATGGATATGCCGGTGTGTTTTCCACTGCATTCCAGTTAAGGCAATTAAGTACAAAGCATTCTTTAAAAACACAGAAATACCTGTACATTCGTGCAAATATATACATTTGCATGAAAATATATTATTTTAACATCAAGCTGTAGTGTAGAAGAGGAAAAGTGGATTCCCACTTGTTGCAGTTTTATCTCAGTGATCAAGTCAATGAGTTATTTAATTGTTTGCTGTTTCTGACTTTTGCCCATCTAAATTAGAGAACATTCTAACTGTAGTAATAAAGGACTTAGGTGAATTATTAGTTTGCCTTGTACAGACAGAAAAGCCCATTTTTTTTGCTTGCATAGTATTTTGACAACTGGAAGATTGGCACACTGAGTTTGAGTAAATATGTGCAAAGAAAACATACAATAGCCACTAAATACAAACTTGTCTTGAAGAGCTGTCAGAAACATCACCACCCATTAGGTGTTATTGCAAGCAAATACATCATGCCAAAAATAATAAAAAATATATGATGGACTTCAGGTTTTCTTGGTTAGGAGTTTTCACAGCCATGCTGCATTTCTTTTGGAGCAAGGTACATGCTCCACTTTAGCAAAGGATGTCTTTTATATGTGCCCAAAATGAGAATAGATGTCCTGCTATGCTGGTGAAAAATTCTTCCCTCTTTGTCAAATTACAGTTTAGTTTTTAACATATATATTTCTCTGGCATTAGTAATTTTGGTGAGGTCTCTGCTTCACTCCTTCTGAAAACAATTCAGCCCGTCTTTTAATTTCCTGCCACTAGTAACAAGATCTTAGTTTGATTGTCTCTCTCAGAGGATATTGGCAATGATTTGGTTTCATCCTCTTCTCATTGGTGGTAAATGGGAACCTGTTGAGGGGTGACAGTGCCTCAAGGGTGCTTGATTGGTTTCTGGGGGAAGGTTTGTTGTAGAGCAGTTGTTTTTAAAATAGGCAAACAAGAAAAATCACTCAAATTTACCTTTCAGTGTCAAACAATTGTGTTATCACTAGAAATGATGCATTATATCATCCCTTTCTTCCAGAGGATAAAGTTATTTTATAAAAGAGCTGGAATATAACAGCAGTTTAATAAAAACTTTTCAGGAGAGGAATGAAAACACAGTTTGCAATATTTATATCTAAGAAACTTTCTGATCAAAGCTAATATTTTGTAGGCTTTCTTCATTCACATGGTTAAAAAAACCCCAAACATTTCAGTGAAATAAGACTTTCCCAAAAGGGTTGTGAACTTGTGGTTTTTTTTAAAATATAATGGAGATTAGTTCAGGGTGAGTTCAAGGTTCTCAGGCAGAGGTGTCAAGAGTTCTTTGGAAATAGCCGATTATTAATTTAATTAAAGAATAACTAGTAAATAAAAAAACCCTGTCCTTCTCCTCAGTAGCTCTTCCAAGTTGCCGAGCATAAAACCCCTCTCTAAGAGTAATGAAGTGGGAAATCCTGAACATTACTGAGGACTTGAGTCTAACCACATCTTGCTGCAAAATTAATGATAGTCACAACACCTTTGACTGGAATAGCCCAGATGGTGCAAAAAATCTCTGAAGGATGTATTTCTCATCATTTGGAGTCAATTCTTCCCCAAAGTCTCTGTGTTACACTGATCTTGATGGGAGCTCATTGTATGATGAGCTTCAGCACACTGCCACGCACTGCTAGACTTTCTGGTAGCCTCTTGAAAAAAAAAAAAAATCTTGAACTGCAAATTTCTCCTAAGCACTATAGGCTATAGCACTACTGAAAACAGTAATTTCTTGGTCCCTAGCTTCATGTATCAGTTGATGGTTTCACCTCTGCAACTGCATGTGTACTCACTCCATCAGTCTGTGATTTCAGCTAAGGCTGCTTACTCTCCAGCCCCTCATTAGGTGGCTCTATCAGAAGGCTCCCCGATAGTATTTCTCAAGTTACAGGGATGGTTAGACAAATGAGTCCTTTCTATGTTTTGAATCAGCAGTGTTATGAGATGTTCTGTAATACCACACATTTGGAGCAAATGAAAGAACAAACTTTAGTTCCTGAACCTGCATGTGTAGATTGGGGTGCATGTCCCCAAGTTCTATTCACTAAGTCAATTAAAGTTCCTTTGCTTTGTTTTTCAGAACCAAAGAAAATGGCTTTGACAGAGAGCCTTTGCACTCAGAGCATCCAAGCAAGCGGCCCTGCACTATTAGCCCAGGCCAGCGGTACAGTCCAAATAATGGCTTATCTTATCAGCCCAATGGTCTGCCTCATCCCACCCCACCTCCACCTCAGCATTATCGTTTGGATGATATGGCCATTGCCCACCACTACAGGGACTCATACAGACACCCCAATCACAGGGACCTCAGGGACAGAAACAGACCTATGGGTAAGGCATGTTGATTTTCTGCATTTTTTTTAGGTTTCCGTTTCTCTTGTAACTTTATTTTGTGAACAGGACATTTTTATCTGTAGTGCAGATGTAGCCTTTATGGCTGTTTGTCCATACAGCTGCTTCTAATGGCCTTATTTCAGAGCTGTATTTGTAAAAGTGGATTGAATTGTGTCTCTAAGTAAGAGGGTCAGAAATGGGAGGAACCTGTGTTTTCAAAGCTGCATGGGTGACATGGACACTCAGGTGTATGGCAGGCAGGGATAGGTAGAGCCTTTTATTTTTCTTCTGATGCCAGATTTGTGATGATAACAACATCAAAGTAGCCTGATTTCAGCTTAGAGCAGAAGATAGTTGTTATCTTTCAGAGAAGTGTTTTGTGTGTGACATGTCCAGAGCATGGAGGATGTGAACACCAGAAGCACCAGCCACACCCCACACAGCATGGTTTGGTTTAATGGGATGCCTGATGCTCTTGGATTTTTCTTCACATCTGCACTTACTGTTTTTTCTTGTTTGAAGCAAATCTTCATTAAAAGAGGAACACTTACAAATATTCAGCATCTGTATAGAGGAGGCTAAGCAAAGAACAAGTGTTGGTTCTCCTTGAGTGTTGATAATAAATACTGGCTTGGTTGTATCATGTTGTCAGCTGCTCTGATATATGTGCTACATTTTAACCACATGTTGTTTAAACATCTGTGGAGGGATGAACCCTTAATGATGCTCTGTTGACATGGTAGTAATTACTGTATTTAGTGAAATAACACTGAGTTTATACTAATATTTTTTCAACTCTCTGAAGTACAGCTAGTATTATATGCACTGAGTTACCAAATAATTGCCTTGCTGACTTCAAGTAGTGCAAATGAAAAATTATATATTGTAGTATGTTATATTTATGTATATAATAATTGTATATAGCAGAAAGAGAAATGTCCATTCTTGAAAGGTCATCTTGCAACCTGTAGAACTTACAGATTTGAACTCATTAAATTGAACAAAACAGTAGCATCTTGTGTGAAGAAAAGTACTAAAGAGAACTTAAAGCAAAGTTTTTTATGAAGCCTTTTTTTTTTTTGTGGTGGCATTTCTAATGCAAGAACAGGTAATATATTATGCTTTTGTCTATAGACTCTTTTTTCTTCTGTTTTTTTGGTTGGTTGGTTGGTTTTGGGGTTTTTTCCCCATAGAGGACTTCCAATGTTGTAAACACAATTTGCTCCTCTTTGGCAGGGTTGCATGGCACACGTCAAGAAGAAATGATTGATCACAGGCTAACAGACAGAGAATGGGCAGAAGAGTGGAAACATCTTGACCATGTAAGGGCTAAATATCCATTTATGTATAATTGTCTGAACAGAGGCCTTCTAAGATAGGAATTTAAAATTTTTATTTTAAAAGCAATCTGAATTCCAGGACAAGTTTTGAAATCTTTGCTTATTAAATCAGAGGGCTTGATGTCCCCCATTAGATAGTTCATACCAGGCCTTGCTGATAGCTGTCTCCTGCATTATCCTAATTATTACAGTCTGCCAAAAGAGGAATGGACATTCTCTATAAACACTGGATCTGGGGCTTGGATTTGTTCCTGAATTTATTAGCTCTTGTAAAATTTGTAGGCATCAGTTCTGGACCATATCTTGTGTCCTCTGAGGTGCCATGTAATACTAGTGGCAGGGCTACAGCCTGTCCAGTTGTTTTCTCCTTGTCTTTGCTCTTTTTCCTATAAGTCCCTATCTGTATAGTTTCGGATCACAAGTTAAAAAGGAAGAGATTGTCATTCTTAAAACAAGACTAGAATTTTTCAGCTATAGTTGAGGTTAACAGAGAGGGACTCATTCATTATTAAAACCCATGCACTCAGTACACTGATGTTTTCTTTATTATTATATCACTCTGAATAAAAAAATTCTTCTTTGTTCCTGTGCTCCATCCACTGCTGTGAACAGTTGTTGAACTGTATAATGGACATGGTGGAAAAAACCAGACGATCTCTCACTGTCCTACGGCGATGTCAGGAAGCAGACCGCGAGGAGCTGAATTACTGGATACGGCGGTACAGTGATGCGGAGGATTTAAAAAAAGGCGGGAACAGCAGCAGTAGTCATTCCAGACAGCAGAGTCCAGTGAATCAAGATCCAGTTTCCTTAGGTACAGTATCCTCATTGAAAATCGTGTGCTGAGTCTCTTTAAGCTCAGCCAAGGGATAGATGACCTTTACATTTGTTCTTCTGATTCTGTTATAATGATGAGTCCTCTCTGCTGACTGCTGAATTCACTATAACTCTTATGCCCAAACAGTGCTGTTTCTGGGTGGAATGGCTTGAGGTTTTTTGGGTGATGCTTGGTAATTTGCTTTTCATTCAGCAAAGTCTAAGAAGGTGGGGTGGGAGGACAGACTGTCATGTAGCGGTGGCAGAGCAGTGAGATGTGCACTGACTCTCTGTCCCTTCTGACTCCTTCTCTTTCCTGATGGCTTAAAAAAATCCGTAGGTATTCCTGGATTGTTTGCAATTCGAAACAGAGGGCTTTCACCTTCTTAAATCAAATTACTTAACTTGGAAGTCGACTTTCTAAAGAAATGGAGTTGTAAAGATACAGGCACTTCTTAGGTGTACTTGGTTTCTGTTTAAGAAAGGAATAAGATCTGTAATGCTCACAGTCATGCACGCATGATCCTCCTAGGTCTGTGTCCATGGCTGCAGCTTGTGCAGGTGTGTCTGAGGACTGTTTGTTGTGTAGTTCCATGGAGCTGTGCAGGCCTTGGCTCAGGCAGTAGAGCTTGAGCTGGGTGCACTGCAGCCACCTTACAAGGACCAGACCAAACAGCTCCCTGCTGCAGACCTTCACAGTCACTCTCAGACATCTCACCTCATCTCAGTACCTCACACATCTGCTCTAAGAGGACTCTGCTCTATAAAAACAAGCTTTTAATTTAAGGGCTTTCTGTAAGTTACTAGTACTTTTGTGGCAGATCTGCTAAAGAAACATCTTGGTGATACCTTTTCATTGTTCTTGTTCTTTTGAAGACAACAGGAGACTATTCTTGCTTGTCTAATATTGTCTTGTAAAAAATAAATTGTATCCAATGTCATCTACTCAAAATCATCATTAATTGTGTTCATTACTAGAATTACAGAATAGAATCAGTAGAATATGTATTATTTTGTAACTGTATTTTAACTGTGTTTTCCTTTTGCCTTTAAGAATAATTTACTAAGTCAAAAATTTATTTAATTGCAAATAGAAAAACAGAGAAACAAATCTAATCCCATCTCCATCATTCCCTTAGTAAATTTTTAGAGTTACTACTGTAATATTTAGTGCCTCTTGATAACAAACAAATCTTGTGTGTGTGTGGTGTGTGTATGTGTGTATGAGAGAGAGAGAGATTACCTGAGTCAATAGTTCTATAAATGTTCTCCAGTCAGTGGAAGGGAGGGTTATAGAAATGTTTCCATAATCCACTAATAAGTCTAGTCCCTAGAGGAGCCCTTCTCAGAAAGTATTCAGGTAATGGCTTGTATGAACAGTACTAAATTTAATGTAAAGAAAGAGTAATAAATCCAGTATCTGAAATGTCAATCACATCTGCAACTTCAGGAAGAGCACCTGTGGGTACATCTAAAGCAGTGGCTCACTTCTCTAGTGAAGCTGTGATGCAAAAAGAGACTGGCCATGGTGCTTTTGTACTTAGTAGGTAGTAAAAATGAACAGTAACTTGAGTGTTTATACTTCCCCAAAGAAACTGGAACTCACTATATTCATCAAAACTTTATAGATAATATTACAATCCAGGAAAAATAGTCATCACCTGAACAGCAGGTACATAAGATAAAATGAAGATCAAGCATACAGTTAGATCCCTATATTAGCATTTGTTTGTGTATTTGTCGAGATGAATACATGGAAACAGCAAAGTCTTCTGGCTTAAAAGATAATTATACAGCACAGTCTTTGGCATTGGACACATCAGTCAGCTCTGCAGTACTGTGTGTACAAATTAACTGCTGGAGTCCATTCAATTTTAACATGTCCACTTTGGTTATTTGGTTGAAAAATACTTCTGAGACTCACAAACATGAAACTTGGATTGGTTCAGTGATGTAGCATCCATGCCAGTTGTAAATATTGGTAAGAAGTGCTTTTGTGTCTGACATGTCAGGGAGAAAATACTTACTTTGGAGTCTATGGAAAGCTAGTTCTCGTATTTCCTCAAATCTGGTAGTAATCTAGTTAACAAAATGAAAACCCCTAACATTCAGAGGTATAATGAAACTAAAGCAGTGTCTGTGAGATTTGAGATGCTTTAGGGCTTTTTATTTTAGTTTTGAAGTAGGGAAAAAGGGATTGAAGAATTTCTGTAATATTTTAATCAAAGTACCACAGCATGTAAATATTGGGGGGTTTGCTACAGAGATTCTAAATGTCAGTGATTTCCCTTTGTACCTTTTTTTTGGGATTTTTTTTCAACAAGGTAATCCAGTCTTTAAATCCATCCTGTCATCTCCACTAGCAAGAGAGAAAAAAAGAGGACCATATGGCTACATTATCTGTGCCTTTGTTTTTTTTTCTTTACAATTCAAATATCATCATTGAAGTGATAACTTCTCATTGCAAACATTATGCCACAGTCTTCATAGATAGGTCTTGCTGAAAAACTCTGAGCTGAGATCTAGCATGGACAGTTTGAGTTGAAAAGTAATTGAAGAAAATTCTGGTTGTCATTTTGAACCTTTTTTCCTGCCAAAGATTTTTGTGCTTCTTTTTATTTGACATCCCTGTAAATCATGTTGAGCCTGGAAGTTTGCAAATATCTAATCAGTATTTTCCTGTTGATATTTTAATTAAAAAATTAAATTAAATACTTGATAATTCATTTTAATGTAGTGTAATCCAATACACACATTAGCCAGCTACATCAGGTTACAAGTTGCCATTATTCTCCAAGAATGTGCTGAAGGTAAGAGGGTCTTTTCAGTCTGAATAATGCATGTTTATGAAAGTCTAAAAATGACTCAGACTTTATATATATTCGCTTGATTAACTGTGATGGTCTATGAAGTGAATAATGCATCATCTGACTCCTCCATTTCTGCTGAAGAATTTCAGTGCTACATACTGCAGCAGGACAGCAACTTTCATCCTAATAGTGAATAATTACCCATATCAGACACTGTATACTGAAATACACACAGTGGGATAAATTAAAGATGAGGGTTCTTCAGCATCGTGGGTTATAAACAAGATCTATAACCATACTGAGTGCAGCTGTGGCTCTAGATAAGTGGAGCAGGCACACATCAGAAGGTCTGCAGCAGTGTTGATATTTTGTGTCTGTTGAATTTATCTGAATGGAAATCTTACAAAATAGAGTTTGAAATCTCCAACTGAAGAGTGCAATACCTGCAGGATTTGCCTCAGGAAACCAGGATTCTCAGAAGTGTAGGAATTTGTCAAAACCACACAGGTTAGCCATTTCTTAATACATTTTTAAATGTTAACCCTTTCAGACCCTTTTTATTTTTTCTGAAGCTGTTCACCATCATGTTTTCAGTGTTAGTCAGAGCATTCCTGCCAACACATCTGTTCATGCTGTGATGATAAACCTGCTCCTTTGCCATTTGCAGATAATCAGCAGTGCTGTGATATGCATGATATTCTCAACATGAGCAAACCATAATGCTGTGAATACCACAGTAACATTTATAACTTGTAATTCCAGAATGCAAAGCCTCTGTGATACTGGTCACTGATGACATTAAGTATTGCTCTTAATCCACTCTCTGCACGGGAGGTTTGGGCTAGATTGTGGCTTAGTGAACTGCATGCTGTTTAGGTAGGGCTCCAAGTGCAGGAACATTGTATGTGTGTGTTCTCAGTGCTCAGTTCTGATGTGGCCTCTGCTTGAGGATGATTCAGTAGTACAGTACCTATGTGGCTTTTCTTTTTCTTTTACAATGAGAACACAACAACTATATTTTTAACACAATTTCAAGGAGTGTTGCAATAGCTGCAAAAATGTATTAGAGGGCAAAAAAGGGCAAAGATGTACTTAAAAATACTGGGAACAATTGCCCCCAACCAGGTTGGCAAGGTAGTCTCATTCAGTAATACCTTCAGAACTCTATGTGGAACTGGCACACTTTTGAACTTGACTCTTACAAACAAGGCAGTGAATAATTTATATTTGTTGCTCTGAGAATTTTTTGTTTGTTTTCTGTATCCCACTAATGGTGTTACATTTATTATAGTATTATAGAATGAAGCAGAACTTGTATATGAAATATGGAAACCACATAAATACATAAAAAGGCATATATATTTAATTTATTCAGGGCTGCTTATATGTAGCTTTTATTATTTTCGAGCCTCAATATTCAGTACAGCATGTAGGGTATTATTATCACTACCAGAATTTTCATGGATGCAGTAAATTCTAAAAGATCATCAAAACATCAGCTGTTCATCTCCATTTCTTAATACTTCGTGTTATAATATGCCAGTGTCCAGTGGTAAAAACAATTATTTTGTTTTGCCAACTTACCTTCTGTTCTTCTTTCCAAGTGTGAATTAGGCTTTTTGAGATTATTGAACATTTCTTTTCCTTCTAAGTTTTTCTGTTCTGTTTTCTTGGGTTTGAGTCTTATGATCACATAAGAGTTTACATAATTTATTTGGCCCTAGCCTTTCATCTCAGTTTCACTTCACAGATCCATATTTATGGCTGCTCTTACAACTCTCCACAGCCCTGCACGTGGCTCTCTTTCAGCACCTTTTCTCTTAGTCTTAAAGCAACCAAAAATTTTTATTTGAATGCAAGATCTGAAACCAATGCAATTTTTTTGTTTTCTTTAAGTGTATTCTCCAACAAATTTTTTACTATTTCACAAGTTTATTTCACATTACAGTAGAAAATTCCAATGCCACTTTTGATGTCAAAAGTCTCTTTTGTTTTTATCTCATTTAAGCACTTATAGGCAAGTAGAGATTATTCTCATATATATGTGCTTTTTATTTGACTTGTTCATCTTTTTCCTTTGGTTCAGTAAGAACTGGACTAATTACCAATACACGCTTTCATGCCTTGCCATGAATTTCAAGTAAATTCAGTTGTGTACATACCATTGTTCTGCATAATGATATTGTTGCATTTTCACCATTAACAAACCTCTGTTTTTATGTCTGACATGCAAGGCCTTTGTCAATATCCTTTTCTGAATGACCTGCCTTGTCACCTCATATTATTCTTATTGTTGTCTTATTTCATTCCATTTCCTTCCAGGCAGCATTTACTTTGACTTCTAGGTGCTGCAGTTAGTTATTTAAATTATGTGTTGTCCTCATTATGGCTTTTTGCATTGTTGTCCACATTATGGCTTTTTGGTTTTAGATTCAGTGTTTTAGGGACTTCACTCAGTTGTGTTCATCTTGGTTTGAGTTTGCTAGATGTCCAAATTAAGATCTTTTGTGCTTCTGTTTTAATGAGAAATTTTTGTGATTCTTAAACTGAAGGACTCCTTACCTTAAAAACACTAATATGTAAGATTTATATCCTCTGGTCATTTCCTGTAGTTTAGGCTTAGAAAGAAGATTGTTTTCATGGACTCATCGCCACTGACTAAACAATAGCCATGTTACTAAAACTTTTCTGGCTTGAAAAATATGGTTTTTATTATCTTCATAAGTGCTTCTTGTCTTTTTTGTGCACCATTCCAAACTATGGGAAAGTGTCTCATAAGCTTTTGATTTAAGTCTTCTTGCAGAGGATCTCATTCCTCATGTAAATAATTTGTGGTTGGAATAAGAGCTTGATTGATGTTTATGTTTTGGAAATTTTAACAATTATCTGGCAATCTGGTCATTTATGTCATTGAATTCCGTTTTTGGAAAGTCATGTGTACCAAAAAATCAGTTCCACATCTCTCTGTCCTTTTTCTTTCTTTTCTTTTTTTTTCTGCCCCCAAAACTAAGAACCATAGATTTAAATCAAGGTTATGCTCCCCTTGCACTGGATGATACGTTATAGCAGACAGGAAAACTGAATACAAAGTAAATGCATGAATGCAACAAACCCCTTGTTTTGTAACATTTGGAGCCTGGTTGGGTCTGTTCCTGCAGGTATTCCATGAAGAGCAAATAAGAGTGGTTTAATTTTTTGCCTTTATTTTTCTTGAGCCTTCAAACAATATTTTCTGTTGTTACCCCTGTCCCCCTAGCAGAATTGGCACTGTGCCTGTAAGTCTAAAAGCTTTTAAGGGGTGAAAACCGTACACAAGGCTATTTGTCATCTCCAGAATCACACAAGCCAAACCATACTGAGAATTTTCCCATTTTTGGTATCAGGTCTGAAATCCTCTATCAAGCTGATTAAACCAATATAAACAGCTGTTTTACAAAATCTGCACACCCGCCCCCAACACATATACAGTCCTATTATTTTATGCTTTAGAGGTGTGAAAGTCTGCCAACAAAAATCTATTTTAAATTGTTGTCCCATACTTCAGTGACAACCAGAAGAGCTGGGTAAATCCATTCAGCTGCCTGTCAGATGGGAAGATGTACTCTCAGTCACTGTCTGCAGATTTTCATACTAGAAACTACATCTGTGAAACAGTGCACAGGGATTCCCTCCTCTCTGTTGAAAAAGCTCCTGTCACTTCCACCTTTGTTAGCTGCCTGCAATATTGTCATCTTTTAAAAGCATTTAAGTTTATGTGGGCTACTGTATGTAAACAGTACTGTATGGATACATTTAATGGTGTAAGAAATTATTTGCAAAACCTGATGTTTCACTTTTTCTTAAAAATACTTTTTAGGTATTTAAGTATACTTTTTAAGTACTTATGTTTAATGCTTTTTGAATAAAGTTAGTGAATAAAAGCTAATAAGATACAAAAATGAGTACATTTAGTTAAAATTAGTATTCAAAGAATGGCAGGTATACTCTTATATATTGTTATATTTCAAGCTCAGACATCAAACAGGAATTTTATTTCTAGCAGCATCTCCAAAACTATTCAAACCTGTCTGTAATGTAACAAATCAAGTTATTTTCTTTAGGCAATTGAATTCTGACACACTGGCAATAGCAATCATGACAGTGAACTTAGTTTTATGTGTTTGGTTGGGATTTTTTTTTTTCATTTTGTCCTCTATTACTTTGAATAATAGTTAATTAGTTTTTAAATTGCACTTGAAAGGAGCAATTTCAAATTCATCTGCTGAGGATCTGTATGCTAAATTTCAGGCCAAAGTGAATTTTCTTTTTGTATCATCTGATCTTAGGCCTTTGAAATCCCTGTGGAAGGGATTTGCTGATTTCAAAACTCTTCGGCGCAGGTCTAAAGGTCAAACCTTTTTTAAAAAAAAAGAGGAGAAGGCGAAAGAGCTGTCAAAATGTGATTGAAATATGTGGATGAATTACAAGCTTCAGCTCCAGTGAGGTTGTTTGGCAGCATGTATTTAGGGCCTTAACCTAAAGTTAAAGGTTCTGTTTTTCAAACTCTCGCAGCTGCAGTTGTCAGCATGGGCTCAGATATAGGAAAGTATAGCTCTGAACTTAGAGACTAACAACCCTTTGCTTTTCTGTGGACAACTTTTTGATCACTGGAAAGGCGTCTTGACTTCTGTCTGCACTCATCAGTACTCATTATTGTGCACAGAGCAGAAGTGCCAGACCTGCACTGTTGCCCATTCTTTTTCCTTTTCATTAATACAATGAGAAAGGACAAAGCAGGTCACTCCCTCAGTTTGTCTCACAAAGCCTCCCTTAAAAGTATGGATACTGTCATACCGAGTTGTCTCAAAATACTGTCAAAGAAAAATAAAATTAATATCTTAACTTGGCTTAAGATTAAACATTCAAGTCACAAGCATTGATCTGGTCTATGTGACATTCATGAGCTACAGCCATAGCAACCGTTTTGTTTTGAGGAGAAAAAAGCTTCACTTGATTTCTTTGTCTGAGCTATAATTAAAGAGTAAAGGTATTTTTCTCTAAGCCTTGTTCTCAACAAGCCAGCATTGCTTATGATGCTCTTTCTTTTTCCCTGTTCACCGCCTCCTCCTGCAGAATCTCATCGGGAATTCCTTCACAGGCCTGCGTCTGGATATGTGCCAGAGGAGATCTGGAAGAAAGCTGGTAAGAACTGTTTAAAAACACCAGCTTAGTCGTCTGGCAGCTGTGTGCAGTTGTTAATGCACTGATGTGAGGAATCGGGAGGCGGGGGAAGGGCTTACAAGTAACAAGAAGAAATTGTGCTTAATAGTCTTAAACTGGAACTGATCGAAATATTAAATAATTTTATAATAGAAGCATCTGCTGCTATAGTTGGGAATATCAGTACTTCCAATATGTACCCCTGTTTTCAGGGCTTCTAATGGTTTCAGACTGAAACTTGATATGTTAAAAGTTTGTCTGTTAGCAATTTTAAAAAAAGAGGTTAGTGTAGGAGGTTTTTTTTTTTTTTTAAGCTTCAGGGTTCTTACCTAGTTTAAATAAGAATTCCCAAAGGAAGGAAAAAACCCAAGTACACCTGTTAGAAAGACTTCAACTATGCAAAGTAACCATTCTTAATTTAAAAAAGACTTTGTGCCTGTCAGCCCCCAGTGAAGCCTGTGCTCATAAACCTGCAGAGTGTGCAATGAAGTCAGCAAGTTCGCATCTCTGCAGCTGCTCTGGCTGTTTGCAGGGCATTGACAGCATCTGCCTGTGCCTGGAAAGCACCCTGGGCAGACGTTGTGCTTGTGCAAAGTTTTCTTAACACTGAAACTCTGCCTGAGCACAGGAGTTTCCTGGCGAGGATCCCACTCTGATGCTGGAGCTAAACCTTTGCTCTTCTGACGCGGACATCAGAGCTCCCTTGTTTTCAGAGGGCCAGGAGGCAGCTCTTGAGCTCCTTTGAGATAGTTGAGGAACTATTTATACACCCAAACATGCCCCCCTGCTTTTGAACACCTGTATAACCATGAAGTCTGCAGCAGCTGTCTGAGCAGCAGTTAATGATTAAATGGCAAATATGCAGCAGTGTTGATGCTTTCTGATCAAATCTCCTGTAAATTTTTGCTGCTTTTCAGTGTATTTTAAACTAGATATACAGCATACAGGTAAAAATGTTATGCTGTTATCTTGCTGCATCAGACAAGAAGCTGTGTTTTGTGTGTAATGTATGTTTATCATGTAAAGTCTACATTTGTCAATATGTTAATGTTTTTAGAACTATTGCGTTTTCTGTGAAAAATAGTAAAACATTGTACATGTTCTTGGTTTTGTCCAAGGAAAGTGTAGTATTTGTAACTCAGTGCCCAAGAATATTTTCATATTGCCATATTTATGTTAACATTTTAAATGGAAAATACAAAAAAATATGCAATCCCAGGAAATCTCACTAAGAGGATAATTATTCTGCTGAATTTCAAAAACTTCAGTCCTCTTGCAAAATCTAGGGTTTGATGTCGTTTGGCATCAGGTTATTTATGACTCATGGATTCAATACAATAGAAGAAAAAAGTTTCTTCGTAATTAACACAAGTTAGCTGAAGCTTTTGGGTTGAATTATGAAGTTGGATGTGCACTCACTCTGCATGTATTCAAAAATGGTAGTGTGCAGGACCTGTGATTTCGTCTTGTGAACATCTATGTTATCAGTTCCTTTGAAACAAAGTTTTTCCTTTGGTCCCATTTCCAGTCTCTTATTTTCAGGTTGATGTGGGTTTAAATCAAGTGATTGTGCATGTGAATTGGAGACTGGAAGAAGTGTAACTCTGCAGGATGCATACCTCTATCTGTTACTAAGTCTAGTCAAATATCAGAAAGCATACTGCTTTCATAAATTATGGTCCTGCATTTTTAGGAGGCTGGTCTCAAACTGGAGGTATCCACAGTTTCATGATGAAGGCAGTAAAGGTGCAATTCAGCTCTGTAAGAATAGGCCTCTGATGCCATTTGAGATGCTGGGCAGCAACTTCCACTCTAGGAGACTACAAATCCCTCACAGGCTATTTCTTTTGGTGCAGTGTAGATCTCTTCATGTATCAAATGTCTGTAAAGACCAATGTGCAGAGAGCTGAATCAAGTATGAAATTCTGTTTGGAATCCTGAATCTATTACATGAATGTGGCATAAAAACAGTTAATAAGCAAACTCAAAAGCATGTGGAGAAGGGATTCACTTTAAACTTTTGGAGATTGGTAGATTCCAGTGTAATTATTTAAAATATACCAATATACCACATGTGCTTTTGTGGCTGCTGGAGCAAGGACATATTATGCAGTACCTCATGAGTTAAAGCCATGTAAGCCCACTTCAGTTTCATACACCAGTAGAAAGTGATCATCAGTGCCCTGATTCACCTCATTGAATTATGGATATGGGGATGAAGAATCCAAGACAAGTTTTTGGCGTTCCTCAGTAGTCAAGAAGGAGGGAGGCAGGTATTGAGGATCAGTCAGATTACAGGTTGGATGACTTGCTCCCTGGGAGTACAAACTTCTTCCCTTTACTAAATACAGAGAGGGTCACAGGCCCATTGTGGGCTGCTGGAATAGCTTCTTCTGTGTCATGTAGGAACTGTCTTCCTTCCAGCCATCGCTGTCAATTATGCCCAATGCCCATGGCAGTCCAGCTGAAAGCTCTGGAGTTACAGAAGAGGAATGAAATAACCATCCTTTATCTCTATAAAGGCAATAAGGGTCCTGCACCTTGTACAGAGTAGTCCTGAGACACATGATGCATTTTGGGATATAATGCTGAGGTAACTCTTTGCCACCAGCTGCCAATGGCCACCCTCACCAGAGTCAGCCTGAAACTGAGATGATCCAAAATATTGTGGTGGTACAGGACTGCACATCTGACCACCACCTTTCTTTTCTCATCATATGGACAAAATGTGTTAATGATGTGAGGGAGGTGACCAGGAGCTGGGTGTGGAATCGTCATTTTTAGGTGAAAGATAAGCTCCTCTCTTAAGTCTGCTCCAAGGACTTCAGACCATGCTGACTAATGCCTATTTTGCACACAAGCTGCATCCTGGAGGTTCTCTCATGTGTTAATGCTGCTCAAAGGGAAGGAAGATTTCAGTTGCATTCCTAAAATGGCAGTGAATTTGTGCCAAGAGTGCTTAGCAATGCTGGGAAGGCAGAGGATACAGGTACATGCATCTTAGATACTTGGTTTTAAAAACTTGCAGATTTCTGCTATCTGTTACTGGAATCTAGTCACTCTTCCTTTCTCTGGAAGCACAGGGAAAGGAAGAGTGCTGGTATCATTCTTGTTCTTCATAGCTCAAGGCAAATAAAAATCTCCTTCGCCATCACAAACATATCTTCAACTACGAAGCTTACATTCTATGTCTATAAAATATCAGTAGTATTTAGTTTGAGAAGCTGTGAAGAAGATCAATGATAAATTTTTTTCTGGTTATTTACATGTTCATGAGTTTGTAATATATTTAAATAATGATGGTACATTGTGACCTGACATATTTTAACTTATTTATTTTCACACCTAGTCTAGCACAATACAAATGCTCTCATCAAAGTTAATGGAAATAATAAAATTCTAATCCATAGTTTAAGCCAGTCAAAAAGTATCAGTCAGGCACATGGCCTCATAAGCACTTTCAGACATCCTCATGTAAGAGCATGAAGAGAATGCCAGAAATGTTGCAAAAATCTTATGCAATATAGAAGATATAATTTTCAATTTCTATATTTGGACTGAAAAGAAGTAGATTATCTGGGATGAAAAACTGCAATTAGAAGTCCGTGTAAAAATGTTGGAGCATTTTGCTTCTGTTTATTATAAGAAACTGGCATTTCTAACTACTGCAAACACCTAACTGTAAAACTGAATTTATATAATGTAACAAAAGTGCATTATGTCATTCAAAGATCATTTCAATTAGTAGCAAATATCAGCAAGAACACAAATTTTCTTTAAGAAATCCGCTTTGTCAATAACTGCAGTTCATAGACACGAAACGCCTGTATTTAAGTTGCCTCAGTTTTCTGAAAATGGTAATAAAATTGCATCTGTATGTTTGCCTGTGTATATTTCTTTTCTCGTGATCAGTGAATGGTTACAGTTGGTAATAAATATTCAAGCACCTTGCAAATGTCCTACCAATTCCCTTTGCTGATCTCCGTGTGCCTGTGGGACTAGAATAGGAATGCATAATTTAAATATAAATTGCCTGATTTGCATATACAATTAGACTAGCTGTAGCTTTGATCGTAAGCAAAAATTATTGTCCTGTATTGCCACTTAGATAGAATTTTAATTCACCTTGAATATTCAAAGAAAATTAAGCCTTGGCTGTATGGTTGAAGGGTATGATTTTTTCCTCTCCTGAGGCTTTCCCTAAACAACATTTATGGTAGGGTAATATAAGGGCATATTTTCAGCCTCATAAAAATAAAGGCATAAGTTTTATCTCTAAATCCCTCCCCACTCCTTGAAAACTTCAGTTGAAACATTTCTTGTAGATATGCACACATGTAACATGCACACATACTCCTCAAGAGAGCTCTTCTTTCATTTTAGTTCCGTTTTAGTCAGTACAAGACTTAAAGAGTGTATTGTAATTTGCTTAATAACTGAAAATGGAGACTTCATGTAGACATTATTTTTAAAATAACACATGTAGAGCTATCAAATGTAGCTCAGGAGAATGAGTATCTCTGCATCAGAGTTTTGTCTGCATGTTCATGCACACAAGTACATGGGCTAAATACATGGCCTAAAACTCAACACATAACACTGTTTTTAATACTTAGATTTTAATCTACAGTAAAACATTTTAAATAGAAATCTGTGGCTTTAATTAAACAGAACATTTAATTAAGGTGGGTTTTAAGTGCATGAAACAATTAAGTGCAAACACTTGAATGAAACATGTCATAATTAGTTTTAATAGAGTGTTAATTGGTACTAGGTTTGCCAAGTTAATAATTACTGCTTATTAAATTTTCAATTAATCATTGTCATTTTGCTTTGAATAAAGATGAAAATTAGATAAACTAATTCAGGGGGAGGATGGTTTCCGTGTTAATTAGAGCAGTTAATTAAAAAAAAAAAAGAAATTACTTGTTTTAGTTGTCAATTAAAAGACTGTTCATTAGTAAAATCTTTGCATTCTTCCTGCATCAAAAGCCAAATAACTAATTTGAGACAATCCATGTTTTCTGGAATAAAAGATATGACACTAGTATGTACCAAAGAAAGGACTCATACTACCATAGTTGTTTTACAAGAAGCGTGAAGGTTTGAATTTAATTAAGTGGGGTGGCCCTGCTCAGTGTTAACTGTGCTCCAAAGTCTTGCTGGGCAGGGTGTGCTCAAGAGCTCAGAAGAGCTAAGGAGTGAAGTCCTCAAGTATAAACACGGATTTGAAGGACAGATCAAGAGGTCAAATGAATGTTAATAAACAATTTTTTAAAATAAAACGATATGTTAAAGAAAAGATACTAGACCAGTGGTTTAAAATTTTTAAGTAAACTCTTGGATTTTTTTTAAATGTTGTATATTTGTTTTTTTAGCATATGGGGAGAAAAAAATCATTAAAAACCATAAATCCTGTCTTAATTTCCCTGTGCTTAAAAATACATTTTTAAAAAAGTCTGTAATATGTCTTAATTATTGTCAAGTATATGCATATATCTGCTGTACTGAAAAACTAATTTTTCAGTGTTCAAAAAGATTGCAAATAAAATGGACCAGAGATCGGAAATCATTGTACCAAAAGAAGTACTGCCTGAGAATCAAAATAGCAAGAATCATTACTAGTGGTAGAGACTTCGATGATGGGGAAGAAGAGAAGCACCTCAGTGCTTCTTGGGCATTCTTGAGGAACCGGGTTCCTCTGTGTCCTACTCAGAATGCAGACTGCCATTATAATTCAAGTAATCTCAGCGTAATGGTACCAGGAGCGGTGCATTCCCCACGATGCATTCCGCACGTCGGTCCCAGGACGGGTGTCCGGGTGTGCTGTGCTGACGCGGTGTCTCCCTTTGCAGAGGAAGCTGTCAATGAAGTGAAGCGGCAGGCGATGGCCGAGCTGCAGAAGGCGGTGTCGGAGGCCGAGCGGAAGGCTCACGACATGATCACTTCGGAGAGGGCCAAGATGGAGCGCACGGTTGCCGAAGCCAAGCGCCAGGCGGCAGAGGACGCCCTGGCTGTCATCAACCAGCAGGAGGATTCAAGTGAGGTAAGGGCCTGGCTGGGCAGGCGTCCTGTGCCTGCAAACCACAGGTGTGTCCAAGCTGCCTTTAACCTGGGTGACACAGGGCATCAGAGCCTGCTATTAACTCTTTGCACAGCTGTTCTGAGTGTGCATTTCAGTTCCAAATTCTCTTGACTATGTTGTAATCTGAGCCCAAAATACCTAGTGAACTTGAGCTCTGTTCTTGCCTTTTAACTGCTGCTCAGGGTTACATATAATGTTCTAACTTGACTTTTCAGTAGCTTCATTTTAAAGCTCTTCAAACTACCATACTGAATAGATAAAAAGATGCTCGGTGGAAAACATTTGACACTGAAATCTAATTGAAACAAATAAATTATTCATGAAATAGATTGTAGAGCAAGGTGGCTAAAAACTTGTCTGGGAAAAGTGTTGGATGTAGAAGTGATTAGCAAAAGATGATGGTTCCTTCAGGACGGAATGTGAATGTAAATTTGCAAGTGTTTCCTTATTTTGAATGTATTGCTTTGGCTACAGGGAATATTTCAGAGTTGAGGAGTGGACAAAGAGCATTTGGTAAAAGAAAAAATAGACTGAGAGATCAAAGAGTAAAACAAGAATAGGTATGTTAAGCCTTGATGTACTTTCAGACCTGAGAGTGGAAACCTTGAATTGTTATGACACAGGACATCTGACACCATGACTATGTGGAAACTGGGAGTGAAAGAGCAGTGTGTGTTTCACCAATGCTGCATCAGTCTAGATAGCAATTAAATTTTATGCTTGTTAAAAAAAAAAAAAAAAAAAAAAAAAAAAAAAAATATAATTTTTAAAAAAAAAAAAAAAAAAAAAAGTCCCAAGTTAAAACTGCCCTTAAAAATGGACATGACAAGGAAATTTTGTCAGTTAGAAGTTATTTGTATATAATCTCCATTTCTCAAGACCTCTGAAATGAAAGAGCATTACCTTAATGAAGTGTTTATTGTTTGTATACTAACATCTTGACTGTAGTAAACCCACTTTTTGAAATAACTTCTAAACATCAGGGAGTTGGGGAAATGAGTAGTTTCAGTACTCCCTTCAGATGTGACAGTCCTTATGACATGGGGACATGCATTTGTGTATGCTCATGTCTAAACTCTTTGCATGGGCTGGATGAGCAGTGTTGTAGAAGAGTCACTTCAGTTGAGAGATGCAGATGAGCTACCTGCAGCATGCTGAGAACACTGGCAGAAATCACCAGCACATAAGTCAGTGGCATGCTGCAGTATGCATCTGTAATTTGAGGGAGCGTAAGTTTTTAATTCCTACCATGTTTCTCTGGAGATGAAAGACCATTGTGGGATCACTGAATGCCCAGAGGTTCTCCTTAATGTGTAGCAGATGAATAACAAGGAGACAAAAGGAATTGATTTTCAGCATCTGAAAGTTTCTCAGGAAGAAAGGGACTAGGGGAAGTATATGTACCCTAAGTACTAGCTGTTCCATTGTAGATTAAATGAGACATAAATTCAATTTATTGGACTTTTGTATCTAAGATACTCAAGGACATTTTCCTGCACTGTTTGTAGAAAGGGCATTTTTCTGACATAGTGTCATTAAAGAGCTTTCATTTTGTATGTGTATATATACAAGAGATTTCTTATTGTTATAAAACCATAATTCCAAAGGTAAAACCTTTGGAGGAAACAGCAGTATAAATCTATTTAGTGAACTGATATAGCGTGAGCAGGACAGAGGAAGTACTTACGTTCCAGTACATCCAGCCCTTTTTTCCACAAGCAAATGTATATCCAAAGGAATGTGTAGAGAATTTGTGTGCTTTGATTAAATTCTGAGTAGTTAAAGCTCTAGAAAAAGCCATCTAGCTACATCTTTACTTCTTCTGCAGCAGAAATGATGATAAGGTTTTTCACTTCTTGGGAGCAGTGCACTTCTTTGGGCAAACAATTATTTTGATTGCATTCTAATGAACTGTGGCTGTTAAGGTTATAAATGTTCTCAGGGTTTTGCATCCCCAGGGAGGTTACAAGCCTCCTGGACCTAGAAATGAGGTCTAGTGTCCTGATCCTGCAACTTTCAACCCTGTGGTCATCAGAGTGGCTGTTTTGAGGTACAAGGTTTAGTAAGCCATCAGAGAGAAATCAAGTTTGACAGTTTGTGTTTACAGGTGATTGATTAACTGTGGAGGGAGATGATTGCAATGCTTATTTGGTTAGATATATCTATTTGTAAGACATTCCTCTTTGGATTCTAATTATGACAAACTCCAACACTTAGGGCAATGCTTCTCACAGTTACCTGTTAACTCAGGCTGCTTTGGATTCCTTTGATTATGACTTCTGTAAGAGTGGACTGGACTTTTCCTTCATCTTTGGGGACAGATCAGTTTGCCAGTGTCTGAAAAGTGTTTCTTCAGAGATGAGACTGTGTTTTTCAGGTTTGAGGAATAATACTCCACGTTTGTTTTGGTTTTAATTATCTCTTGGATCTCTCTGTGGACATTGCTCCTGATTTGTCTAGGTTTTAAGTCTACATAAACTCTCTTGTTTACAGCTTTCAGCAGAACACTTACAGCAACACAGATTCCTGTGCTCTTAAGGCACCAGAGTAAACTTTCTAGAGCTAAAATATTTCCAGTTTCAAATCTGAGACTGTTCCAGTGCAGCCTCTAAATCCTTGCAGGTCCAAGGGGAATGCTGAGCACCTCTTCTCATTCCTTATCCTTGCTGGGGCATTTCTCCAAGGCATTCAAGAAAGCTTACTATATGCTGCTGTATAACCTCCATGCAGTTCCTGACAGACAATATTTCTCTAGTGGGTGTCATTATTTCTTTTGGCTGTTGTAACTGTGAATGGAGATGAAAATTTGATGCCAGATTTGTAATATATCAGGTACAATTTTCTACTGATATGCCACTCCCTTTCTATTGGCAAGGTTTCTCCCTTGATTTGTTATTCAGTAAAATGCAGACTGGACCTCGCTGAGGCTTCTTGAAGCTTTTCTGGTGTGAGAATTTTATGGTATGATTTTTATTGCAGTCTGCTCAAAGTGATAACTACTACTAAGACTCAGGATTTTTGTGATTATTATTATGCAGCCCCCTAATCCAAGACCTTTCAGAGCTCTCACAAAGAAAAGTAGATTGGATTTTTGATATTTTTTGTTGATGTTGCTGATTTCTGTGTTGGGTTGGGCTTTTTTCTGGTTTTGCTTGGTTTTTTTAGTATTCTGTTTTGCTTTGACTTAAACCCAGAAAAAGTAGGATCCCTGAGTGCAAGATTTTCTTCAAGAAAAAAAGTGAAGTCGGGCATATTAAAATGACGATATCAAAATTCCAAAATTAAGGGAGCACAAGACAGTAAGCAGACTAATAGGGGAGGTGTAATATTCAGAAGCATCCTGACTTTTAAGAAGTAGTCTGCAAGATTTTGAGAATGACCACATTACATAGCATAGGTAGAATTTCTGACTCTGACTTGAACTCCTTTGTTGAACTGTTGTTCTTTACTTATCTTAGTTGTTCAGCATGGTTTAACAGCACTCCCACTGCTTCAGTGTCTGTGCATTTACTTTCTAAACGTTTTCATAGTTCTTAACATAAGACCTTGCAACTGAGCAGCTAATGTTCATGCTTTTCTGTTGAGGACTAGCTGACTGAGCAGACTGCTGCTGGAAAGCAAAAGGACCAGGACAAAGCCTACCTGTCAGCATGGCTGTTCAGAGCCACGGATTATTTCTTTACCAGTTCCTTACAGTTGCTTGACAAAAAATGACCCATTCATCAGTAGTTGGCTTGGCTAAGTACAGAAACATGTGTGATCAGCCTACTCAATAATGACTGCTGTGCTTGATTTGGCTGCAATGTGCTGCTTTGCAAATCAATTTTAATAGGGAGGGTGAACAGTTTAGCAAAGAGACTGACTGCCCAGATTGTAATGGGGGGTGGGATCATCAAAACATCTGTCTTTCTGGTTTGGTATAAAATGCCACTGAAAAATCTGACACTCAGTGTTATCCCTCAGTTTTGAGTAGGCTGGGGGCTGGGGACAGGGAAGGAACACAAATGTTTCAGTTCTCTCTACTTAAAGCAGATGCTGACATCTGCTTAGATAAAACAAGTATGTAACTGGTCCAACACTGCTTTTAGGAGATGTGTAATGTTAGGGCTTGTTTATATTGCAGCAGTTCACGTTGTATGTGAATATCACACCTGACATTTTGAAGACAGCTGGGTTCAATCTCTGCTGACCAATCCATTGAGACCAGGACCATGCCAGCAAACCTGACTCTGAACATCAGATGGTGTGATTCAGGCAAGCCTAGTTTTCAGGCTGGTATTAAATTTAATACCTATGTCAGCTAATGTTTAATTTTTTGGCAGAGCATCTCTTGGAAAGCAGCACATCATCCCCTGCAGTGCTGGGTAGTACAGAGGCACCAGAGCCATGTGTTCTGCACAGGATCAGTCCAGATGTGATGTGAGCATTGGCACTGCCCCAGACTGCTAAGCTAAGCCTGGCTCACCAGCTTGCACAGCTCTTCTGTGGGCTGCTCCACACTTGTGTTTGCAGGATTTAGCTACTCTCACTGATTTGTATGAAAGTTCTTGTATTTCACCAAATAAACAGTGGCTTGGGCAACCCTGGAGTGTTCTGTGATAGGTGTAACTTTACTAGAAACATCTTAAAAGTTTGAATGTCATTTTGACAGTGTGGGAATTTCCAAAGTACCAATATATTTCCTTTTCTAATGACTCTTGTATAAAATTCTCATAAACAACTTTGCTGGATTTTTACACTGCTATTCAGCAGCTCATACAGTTCTCATTTACGCCCCTGTGGTTTCAGTGCTTTCTAGATGTTCCTTTTCTTGTGGTTAGCAGTGGTAGAGTTTTGAATGTCATGGGCATTGCAGAACTGGGAAAAATCTGGGTTCTTCATACCAGCCATGCTTCCTTTCATGGTAAATTGGGGAAATCCAGAATTTCTCAAAGATGACAGAACAAAAGGATTTTTTTATTTATTTAAGCAAGCTCTACACTAAGTCTCAGTTGGAGTGTCAGAGGAAAGCAAATGCTCAATTCTGGTTGAATATTTCAGAGATGAAAGCAACAGGATGGGCAAAATAACTGACAAGTGTATGTTTTGGTACTGAAGAACACAGAAATGGAGATCTTTTAAGAATTTTGATGAGGACAGACAGGAGAATTTGAAGACAGAAGCTTAAGTGCATGAGAATTGAGAGTTTGACCTAAGATAAGGCTCTGACCTAAGACTGATGTTCCTTGTCAGTTAAAAGAGGATGAAATATGATCAGTGGCATAAATTTAGAGTGAGATTCCCATCTGGTGTAATTTAGCTCAATTTCATTGAATTAATCAATTTTCAAGGTAGTGAAGTAAATTGAATTACATAGTCTGAGAATCTAGCTTTTTGTATAACCTCACTGTATCACAGGCAAATCAACATAAAGTGCAGTCCAGTCCTTCTCAGAGTTTTAGCTATGTCTGGAACTGTATAGAGCATGAGCTGGAAGTGCAGTGTAGTAGGTCACTACCTAAAGACAGAATATATAGACCAGCAGAGGCTTTGAGAGATTGGCTTCTCCCTTTTCCAATCCATTAGCAACTCTAGCTGTACCATTCCCCCTGCTTTTCCTGTGCTTAAATGATGGGGATTCTCCAACATCTTTAGGCAGTTTACTCCTGTTCTTAACAGAATTTTGATCCTATTACTTCTGCTAATCCATGTAGAGGTGGATGTAGACATTCACTGCAGTGATGTTTTGGTGTTACTGCCCCTTTTAAGCTACCATCTTATATTTAAAAGTCTGAGTTCATTCAGTCTCTTCTCACAGTTTATGTTTGTCTGACTTCTGATTAAACTGGCTGCCTTTCATCAGTTTCTTTCAAAGTCTTGTTTGTCTTGCTTGATTTTCTGTACTTGAAGTGCATCATCTCAACCTTGATAGGCCTCCCAGCTGGATCTTACTAGTGATAGGCGATAGCCTTAAAGTAAGGCAGTAAGGCAGCCCGTAGTTGTGTCCATATGCCCTTGGATGAAGATTGCCATCTCGTCACCAGCATGACACTGTGGCCATCTGTTGTTCAAGATGCTGTGTACACACCTCAGTGAGGTGCTCCGTTTTGCTGATACCTGGTAGAGCATCCCAGGAAGGAAAATACCTGGGTATGTTCAGTCCCATAGCTTTGTGACAGCTGGATCTGCTGGAAAGACAGGAGCAGCAGGGGCATAAAGCACAGCCCAGACTATTAGCTGGCATCTCAAGCCTGGCTTTTCTTTGGTAGAATTTGGGGCTATCAGCCAGTGTTGTGAGCAGAAGGCATTTGTTTCCAAAGTTTGTGGTGCCCAAGCCTGATCTTTGCTGCTCTCTTTCACTATTTGCACGTGGGAAGGAGCAACGAATGGTCACAATGATGAGGGCTGTGTGGGACAGGGAGTTCTGCACATCAAATCCAGCTGCTGTCTCAGTACAAGCTCCCTGTGATGTGTGTGTTTATGTTAATTTGTACTGTAGTAATTTTAAAACACAATAAATTGCTGCATAAATGTGAGATGTAAAATTTATTTTGAAATTCTTCTATTTTATGTGGTTTTATTCCCACAATTACACTAAAGCTGTAATGACCTGTTAAATTAGAACTAATATGTCCAATGAACAAAATCACATACCAAACAATGTAGGACACATTAAATAATCATGTAAGGAGCCAGCTTAGTACTTCACCATTTCATCAAAATCTTGCACCTATGTATCACTTTTCATGTTCTGTGCAGTCTGATAGTTAACTGATGTCTATTTTAATAAGAAAGTTGAACCAATACTGTTAGAATTAAACTACTGTTTCCTGACATCAATACAGATCATGTGGTAAGATACTGAAATACTGTGTGGTGGCTCTGGTCACATCTGGAGTCAGATCTCTATGTGCTCCTCAAAAAGAGAAGCAGAGCGAAGATTCTTTGAATGCTGGCCTATATTAACTGAACAGATGCTTGAATAAGTTTGACACCCTCACAGTAATTCCCACACAAATAAAGCATCAACTTCAATGTTGCAAACAGTTCTGACAAAGGAGGAATTCCTGCACCTGGGCATTTGCTGGCTGGGTTCAGCATAATTCCACGTGGGAGGAAGGTGTCTTTTCAGAAAAGTCTACATGGGGATGTTTGTACATGTGCATTTGTTTTCAGATAAGGAAACAAAGGGAAATATGGATCAACCCCATGGCTGGCAATTTAGTTGGAAGCAAATAGCTGGGAGGTCAGCAGGCATGGCAGTACGTGGAAACTGTGCAAGTACAGCTGGACCAGAATTGCACCGTGTTTACTGATCATTATACAAGCAAAATGAAACTTTCATTAATATGAAAGAAATAAAGAAATATGGTAATATAGAAATAGAATATATACTAAAGAATATAAAATAAATAAAATAAAGATACATATAAAATACAAAATATAAATATAGTAATATCACATATAATAAATATTATAATAAGGAAATATTAGTATAGCAAAAGAAGGAAAATACAGGTACATCACATTTAGTTATCTTTCTGGTTAGCAGGATGCAATGCTAATATGAAATGCGAATGCAAAAATATCAGGTCATTTTGGTGTATGCATAAATATATCTATGTGTGTACATGTCCGTGTACAGTGGTCTAAATTACTAACAGTTGTTTTTCATTGTGGAGATAAAAGGTTGTTTAAAAAAAGGTTTTTGCAAATAGTATAGCTATTCTTTTCCAAAGGTGGATTTACCTCTCTGGCACTGGACAGAGTGTGAGCAAATGAACCTGAAACAATGACTACTGAATGAAAACCAGGTGATGCCTGGTTCAGACAAGGAGTCTGAATTCCTGACATTTAACTACCAGAAACATCTGTTTCTGTGTGTTGGTAATTCCACTTTTTTTTTTTAGTGTTTTTAAAGATGGGAACAATTTTATGAATTAAAAAAAAAAAGTCCCCAACACATATATCTGTAATTACCTGGTTTAGTCTGTGTGTTTAATCAGTATGAATTGAGAATGCCATGTACCTTTGATTTCAATCTCAAGGAACAATTGGGCACAGAACAGTCACTCTTGCCCCATTTGCCACTAGAGCAACCAGTCCCCAAAACAATGAAAACCAGCAAAAAGAGGGAACATGGAACTAACACAGGAATATTTTCTAAAGACACTTGATACTGATTAAAATTCTAATTTCTGTAAAATACCGATTTGGGTTTAGGTCTTTGTTTCATTCTGGAATTGGGATTTTTTTTTTTAAGTAGTTGAGGAATATCACTTAAGGATTGGCTGTGTTCCAGCATCCAGCTGGCAGAGCTATAGAGTGTGTTAAAATGAATACACATATTCTGCAGTTGGCTTCCCCATCCTGCCAAAGATTTAGATTCTAGCTTAACTGTTCACTGTCAGCAATGCCACTGAGTCAAATGGTATTACTCAGATGATTAAAAATTAGGTTTTCCTAGGGTAGCAGGTTTTCCTAGGTCAGCAAGTTTTACCTATGTGTTAAGTCATTTTTTCCCACTTTGTCTTGCATTAGTTCCTCTCCACTTCTGGAGAAGCACTTTTTTGTATGTGCATGTTTCATTATTTGTTTTAATAAATTTGTAAGAGGAGTAACAGAGGTTTTACTGAAACATTTGATTAGTCAGCATGCTGCTGGTTGCTGGATGTGGGACATACTTGGAGTTTGCATCATTAGTAATAGCAAAGAGCTGCTTCTGTTCTTGCCCAGCTTCCGAGACAGAGTTCTCCAGGTGACTGGAGCTCCTGTGGAACAGGTTCAGATACCCAAGGTAGCACTGACTGATTCCTCAGCTGTCCTTAGGCAGGGGGCTGACCCACAGTTCCCTGCCAGCTGTTTTTACTGTAAAATTTAGGACACTAGCTAATTTCTCCCATCTCCCTCCCCTTTTGCTTCTAGAGTTGCTGGAACTGTGGCCGGAAAGCTAGTGAAACCTGCAGTGGTTGCAACACAGCACGATACTGTGGCTCATTTTGCCAGCACAAGGACTGGGAGAAGCACCATCACATCTGTGGACAGACCCTCCAAGCCCAGCAGCAAGGAGAGACACCAGCAGTGAGCTCCTCCGTGACACCCAGCAGCGGGGCTGGGAGCCCCATCGACACTCCACCAGCAGCTACTCCGAGGTCCACCACCCCGGGAACCCCTTCCACCATAGACGCGACTCCTCGCTAAAACTGAACTCGAAACTCCGAAAACAAAAACACAACAGAAAATTAAACCAATTCCTCATCCTCAGATGCGCAAAGATTTTAACTGAACTGTCATATTTCAATACTTCAATAAAGAAAGAACTTACTGTATCTTGGGGTGGTAGAAAATACAGAAGGCCAGTAACGGGTCATAATGACTTATTGTGGATAACAAAGATATCTTTTCTTTAGAAAACTGAAAAGAGAGCAGAGAATATACACAAAATGATAGATTTGACCTCCTCCCTGTTATTTTCCAGTAGCTGGGATTTTAAACTAGATGACCTCATTAACAGATGCTTTACCAAACAGCAAACCAAGAGATTGCTAATTGCTGTTGAAAGCAAAATGCTAATATTAAAGTCACAATGTTCTTTATAACAATAATGGAAATTAAAAAAAAAAAAAGAGAGAGAGAAAAAAATAACCCTCAAGGGCATGAGCATTGGATACAGCAGTAGACATTTTAACAAGAAGATGAATGGCGTCCGTGGGTTACTGACTGAACTTTGAAGACCCGCATCAAAACGCGCAGATGTGCAGCAGATTGGAAGGAGACACAGATGTTCATTTTTTTTTTCCTGTTTCTAAAAGAAATAAAATAATACCCAGGTCAACAGAATGAAAAATGAAAGATGATTTGCAGTGGGATGTAGGACTACAGCAGCAAAGAAAAAAAATGCCATAATACAAAAGGCTTTTTTTTTTTTTTTTTCCTTTTAAATACAGAAATAAGGGACACAGCCTGCAGTTAATTAGCATCCTGGCAGCTTTGACATCAGCCAGCTGCTCCAACTAAACCTTTCAACATTTTTTCACTTTTTTTGCAAGGTTCCACAGAGTATGACAATCGGGTCTATTCCAGCTCATTCATTTTTGTATTGAAAATTAATAATAGTTAATAACACGGTGGCTCCAGCCCCTTTCCAAATTCTTTCCACCCATCCTGTTTGGATTTTTAAAAAAAAAAAAAAAAAAAAAAAAAAAAGAAAAAAAAAAAAAAAGAAAAAAAAACCCTAGTAGTTCTCTTGGTGTTAAAACACTTCTGTCCTGTGAGGTTTCCCGATGGTGTTTTTCTTGTAAATGTGTTGGACAAATGTGAAGATGCATTGTAGTTTAACCATGCTCACATTTAGTCTTCTTTATTCCTAGTTGGTGAGAAACCTGTAACTTTCTATGCTGCTTTTATATCTGTATGTATTAGTGATATTTCTCTAGTAGCTTAAAAAAAAGAAGAAAAAAGAAGAAAAAAAAAGAAAAAAACCACCCTTTTTTGTTCGTCCTGAAGAAAAACAAAT